TCTGGTATTACCATATGCTGGCCTGTACCTTTTTGCAACTTGTTCCTGCTGATTATATTCAGAGGAAAGAATCCTTGGTTGACAGTCTCTACCTTTATGGGGTCTTCTGATAAGAGAGTTGTTGAGTTTAAAAGAAATCTCATTCTTGCTTGCGCTCAGCCTGCCTTTTTAGTGGGTGTAGGGGGGTGGGTCAGGCAGGCCTGTGCGCCTGTCCTGGAAGGACGTGAGGCCATAGGACTGCAGAGGCTCACTCATTTCTCCCTCAGCCCTGCCCCTTTTGCAGCCATTCAGAAGTTTCAGAGGGGTTTGCCCTGTCCTTTCAGGGCCCCCCAGTCAGGAAGAACCTCTAGAAGGCAGAGAGCATTGCATCCAGGCCCTGTGAAAGGTGCAGGAACAGCAGGTCCCAGGGGTGGTCACTGTTGCCAACAAGTATATTCTCCAGAGCCAGCTCCAAGGAGTTAATTGATGTGTTTTCTTTTTTCTGGAAACTGGTGATTAACTTTGTTCAGGTATAAATGTATGTGTATAAAGGTGCTTCCTTCCTGAAAGCTTCCTCTAAGTCTGGTGAGTAATCTAGTCTCTCCCTCTTCCCTTTCAGCGGATAGCTCTGACAACTCTGATTTGGAAGATGACATCATCTTATCTCTGAATGAGTGAGGAGCCATCACCGTGTGCAAGACATTCCTGACAGGCGAGAAACTGAGTCAGATGAATTGAGAACACACCTTCCTTTCCCTTTCTCCCAGGGCTGTCTTTTAAGGAACTGCATGCCCTGCATTCAGAGGATTATGGCTTAGAGAGCCTCACTGGAATCTGAGGGTCCTTCTAAAACAATAACAACCACAAAAAAGACAACAGGGTTAGGCCCTATTCTGCTTCCCCCTTCTCCTAGGACGGACAGCTCTTTCCTCAAGGGGAAAAAAAAACATGTCTCTGGGGTTATTTCACAATATATTTTCTTTGTATAACGTTCTTTACTTAAAGAACAAGAAATAGTTTTTTATAAAATTTAAAAAGAAAAAAAAAACCAAAACCAGGCATTTATAACTGAGGGTATGAACTTATATCCACCAGGTCTCTTGTCCCAGCACTTCATTTTCTATGGAAGAAAATGATGTCTAAAGAACAATATAGAGGCATTTTTACATACGTATTTAAATGAAAAGGAAAATCGTGGTTTCTTAAATTGATAAGGATTAAGAATATTTTATTATAAATATAATATATGATTTTTTAACCTGTTCTGTTGCCTCATATGCTGTCAGGTTAAGTTGTTTTCCTTCTTGCCAGAGGTGGGGAGGAAGGCAGTGCTTATTTGCTGAGTAAATGCCTAGATTCACCCACCTTCATGGTTTGGGGGCAGCAAGGTCATTGTGGATATTGGTTTTGTGGAGTTGAGGGAACTTAGGATATAAGTTCACTCCCTCTATTTTTCTTTGTGATTCAGTTTTTCAAAAAAATTTTTTTTTCTTCCTTCTCCCCAATGTGGAAATTACAAATCAAAGGCCTTTTTCTTTAATGTAAAGTGTATTTATTTAAAAAAAATACAAAATAAACTACAAGTCTGTCTTTGTTTGTTTATGGCCTTTCCCTGTTCTCTTTTACCAAAGTGCGGTGGTCCCTTGCCCTACAGCTCTAGCCAGCCAGTAGAGAAGACGCCTTCCGAGAGAGGCAGCCCAGGATGGTGGTGAGACTCACTCTGCCCAAATAAAGCACTCTGGGGAGAAAAGTAGCTTAGTCACAGTGTCTGACCCTGGTCTGCGGCCCTCCCCCCAAGGGAGTATTGGTCTGTGCCCGAGAACCACGCTGGGGGGGTGGAGGAGGTGTTTGGGCATTGTGTGCTGTGGACACCTCTCTGTCCCGGGTTCTGACTTAAGAAGGCGGCTCTGCAGTACAGATTTGGTGGAGCTGGAAGTTTTGGAGGAACATGCTGGCAGAGTTAAGGAGCGGCCACCTCTAGAGTTAGTTGGGTGACCGTCATTACTGTTTCCTCAAGGGAGCGTTAACAGCGGACCAGAGCGGTTCTCCACTTTTGGCAGTTTGGGGCAGCAGGGGCCTGGGCAGGCTCAGGCCTTCAAAACCAGCCAGGGGTTGTGGAACTGGGGTACTGCCAGGGAAAGTGCCACGTGCTCTGACCTTTTCCCTTAACCCACCTCACCCTGCTCTCCTCCCACAATAAATAGGCAACCACAGTCTCTTCCTTTGAGTTACCCCCGTAACAGCTGCTTGGTTTCTATTGTGTAGGTTTCAAATAGCTAGAGACTTTTCTCCCTTTGCTGAGAGAAGAGGGGACAGATGTGGTTGTGAAGTAAACAAGACAAGACGGCTAAGACTCCTCAGGGGCTGGCAAAGCCCTCCTGGGCTCTGGAGCACCGTCCAGTTGACGACACACACTGAGGCGGGCCTGCGTCACACGTACCTCTTGGTCCTTTAGAGAGCAGAGCGCTCAGCCCTTACGTTGCTTCATGCCTCACACTAACCAGTGGAGTAGCCTTGACTGCTGGTGCTGGATGCATCAGGAGGAAACAGGTTAAAAGTCAACAAGGAAAAACACTGTTCTAGCCCTGAACTCCGCTGAGCCGCTGGCTGTCTCCCTCAACTCTGCCGGCAGCTCTTGGGAGGGCCTGCAGGTCTCTGGGGTGGAGATGGGGACCTCCGACAGGGGAGCGGAGTTGTGGCTGACTTGACAACACGCCCTGAGAGGCTAAGGAGACATCTGCCCTCTTTCTTACTGTACCAGGGCTTAAGATCTGAGTCACTTAGAAGAAACACGTACAATACTAGCAAACCAACAGTGAGGCAGAATTTGCCTCAGATTGTTTTTTTTGTTTTGCCTTTAAGCGACACCTCAGACAGGACCCGAACCCCCAGGTGGAGGCTCCGGACACCTGCAGTTAAATTGTTCTCTCTCTGGGACAGTCTAAAATCAATCAGCGCCTTGACCACCTCACCTGCTAGGTCTGAGAGTTCACAGAACCTGCTTTGTCTTAAGAGCCAAAGGAAGGAAGTGGTTAAGAGGGTCCAGAGAAGAGGAGCGGGAGGAAGGTCACACAGTGGGTGGGCTGTGGTTCTTTACCAAAAAACTCTGTAGTTCTTTTTGGGGCTATCCCTGAAGAGTAGACAAAGCAAGGGTTGAAGGGTCTTCTCTAACCAGATTTCCTAGCAGGTTTACATCTGGGAATGCTGCTGGGTGGTGTAGGATTCTGGGTTCTGAGCACCCACTCTATGAAGAACAGCCCCGAAAAGTTTTGAACTTCATGGGGCAAGGCACCTCTGGCCTGTGTATGACCCAGGCATTTCTCAAAGAACTGCAGGGAGCCCTGCATTGTGCCTTCAAGACACCCCTACCTCATTTGATCTGAACAGGGAGGGCCCACTCCTGCTTCCGGCAGTACGAGCTACCCTGGAATGGTGGAGCTGTGGTCAGCTGAGTCCCCCACGGACTTCCTCAGGCACCTGGCAGTTGTGGCCACAGCTCAAGGACAAACAAACAGGCAAATAAACGCACTTAACACTTCCTTTGGTCATGTTTTCTGTTGTGAACGTGCTTGTTCGCTCATGAGCACCCGCTGTGGCCCGGTGAGCAGTATCTCCCCCGGCACCTTCCCCTGTTCATTTTAAATCTCCGAGGTCCCAAAAAGCCACCTCTTTCCGTGTGGAGGCAAGTATCCTCCAGGCAGTCCACACTGAGCCTCATCCTCTACCTCAAAGCGTCCCAGCTGTCACCTGTGTTCCCTTGCATGGGCTGGGCTTGTGGCCGGGAGGGTGGTGTGGCCACCAGAACCTGGAGTTCTGGCCAGTTGGCTCATTTCTCTTACTGAGGCTGCTGTTGTCCCTCAGCTCTTCTGGGACATCCAGACTGCCACACAAACACTCCGAAGAGTGTATCTGGCCTGTGTTCTCTGGTGACAACTGCTGTGTGACTGGGTTCCCGCCCCGGTCCCCGACAGCGCTGGCTTCATTTGCCCTCTGACCTCATTAGAGACCAGGGAGGACAGCATTTTACTCTTTCAAGCCATCGTTCCCTCCCAGCTGGAGGATGCTTCCACATCCCCCCCAGCTGGGCTTAAATGGCTCTGACTAGCCCTGCCCCAGCGCCTTGGCACCTGGGACTTCATTTCCCCACCGAGGCACCTTTGTCCCAGTGGCCCCACCTCAGCAGCAGGGCAGGAGGCCACGGCACACGCTCTCACCTCACACCTGCGAAACAGGTATGTCAGTTAAGAGCATCTTCCTGATCTACCGTGCTCCCTTGCAGCGTTGCAAAAATTCTTCAGTCCAGGAGTTCAGTGTCCCTCCCCTAAAAAACTCTAGTGACTGGGCAGAGCCCCCCCCTCCCCGCCACTGATACATTAGCCCCCAAACAAGCAAGAACCAGAATTTACAAACACTGGGTACATTTCAAGAATGAACCAAAAGAAGCTCCTTCCCGCCCTCCATTCTGGCATTTGGCCTCCGGTGTCCCTGGGAGTCTGAGGCAGCTCTGCCTCCAGCCAGGTGCTCCCGGGCTGCCACAACAGCCACATTAAGGCTGAATAAGAGGGGGAGCCTGCGTCGATCTGGGACCCCGAGACCCTGTGGCATCCATACTGTACTTGTCTTCCCCGTGACAAGACCACACAACTGCTGAAGACTACCTGCCTGCAAAAGGCCTCAAGATTAGGCATGTTGTCCAACTGTTAGAGCTCAAGCAGATGCACACACACATTCAGGGCAGGAAAACGAAAACTCCAAAACCACCAAAGCTGCCGGCTATGGAGCTCAGGCTCACGGGCTCTGCTCAGGCAGGCAGGGGAGGGTCCAGAGGCAAACAACTTGCTGTGAGCCAAGGCTAAAGACAAATGTGAACGTAGTCCTGACTGGGCCCAAAGAGCTGAGGGACTGAGAGCCACCAACACGGCAGGATTCTGAACTATATATACCCGGGCCGGGAAGCTGACCTAGAGCATTTGCGTGCGTGCAGTGGGGAAAAGTCTTCCATTGACTGAGGAAAAACTTGATTAAACCAGGAGAACAGGATTAAAAATCCATCCTCTGACAAAGGCTTTACTGACAACTTTCCATACAGTTAGTCAAAAAATAAAAAAATACAGAACACAGCAGACAGTATCTCGTACACTAGAAATCAACGTGACAGGAGTCCCTTTTCTCATTGCTGTTAAAACAAAAGACAAAAAACAAAAAACACAACCCTAAAATCTAAGAACTTAGTTTTGGTGGGGGGTCGGGACTCTGGTCCCCCATTAAATGAACCAAAATAACCCAGCAGAGAATTCAAACCAAGGGGGTAGGATGTGGGGAGGGGGTGGTGGTCAGATCTTAAAATAACTGCTTTTGTGACACAAATGCGGAGCTGGAAACAGGTTTGGGCTAGGCAGTGTCTCTCACTATAACTATCACCATGTGTTCTTCTTCTAGCTTGCCCAATGTCCTCAGTGCGGACTGGAGGTACTGCTGTGAAAAGTCGCAGGGCGGGAAGGCGTAGAGCATGCCCGTGCTGTCTCTGCCCTTGGACCCACCCACCGGCAGGCTGATCACCCCCGCTGCCTGCTTCTGTTTCAAGTAGGAGACCAGGTTCCTGAGAAGCCGCCTCTGTAAGCCTGGCTCCACCGCGGGCATCCCCTCAGTGCCAGGCCCGCTGGGGGTCGCCTGGGTGGCTAGGAGCACCGCATAGCCATTGGGGCTCCCCTGCTTGATCCGCCGCGTGACCTCGTCGAGCTTGGGCTGGTCCAGTCGCAGACGCTGGGCGATCTTCAGCTGGGTCAGCTTGCTCCCGGAAGTGTGGTCTTTGAGGAGGCCCGTGATAACCCCCTGGTCCCCCTCTAGGATGTGCATAGATGTCGGGAAGCAGCTGTTTTTCAACACTAGGAGCCCATTCCAACCCAGCTGCAGTGTCTGGGCATACTCGGAAAGATTCTTGAGCTTTTTGGTCTCGTGTTTTGGCTCTTCCAGAGGCTTGGGCTCAGCCTCAGCGGTCCGATGATTGCGCTCGCTCTCTCGGGTCTTCTTCCCGTGGGAAGAGTCTGGAGCCTCGTGGTGGTGGTGGTGGCTCCGCTCCTCAGCCCCATGTCTGCTGTTGCTGAGGGAGTTGCTGCTGGACTCCTTGGGCCCGTCACTGGAGTGGTTCTCCTTACGGCTGCGCTCAGGGGTGCGGTCAGAGCCCCGGTCCACCTGCTGCCCACCACCCTTGGTCCTGCTCCGTTCCTCATAAGGGGAGTGGGTTGTCCTCCCGCGCTCACTGGAAAGGCTCCTCCGCTTCCGCCTCTCCTCCCAGGGCTTGGGCAGGCCCCGGTCCCCATCTCCCCAGCGCTCCCCACTCCGGCTGCGCACCGACCGGCTGTAGCCCTCCAGGCTGTTTCGGCGGTCGGAGCTTTTACTAGGGCTGGTCCAGTCCCCTTCCAAAAAGGTCCGGTCTCGGTCTGAGTACAGGAGGTGTGGGGGGGTCCTATCCCGCACCCGTAGGTCTGCATCCAGGTTTCGGTGCCGGGTATACCCGTCGGGGAGCAGCTCGTAATGCACAGGGAGGGGTGAAGGCTGGTACTGCTGGGGATACCGAGTCTCCTCTGCTTTGGCAAAATCCACGCGCAGCCTCCGGTCTGGACCACCCAAGGGAAAGCCCCTCATTTTTGCACAGGCGGCCTGAGCTGCATCCAAGCTCTCGTACTGGATGTAGGCAAAGCTATCTCCCTTGACATGATCAATGGTCCGAATGCTCCCAAAGCGGTCAAACTCCCGGGCCAGAGCGGCCAGTGACGTGTTAGGTCCCAGGCCGCCCACCCAGAGACGAGTGGTGGGGTTGGCCTTGCCGTAGCCTATCTTGATGGGGTTTCGGCCAATCACCCGGCCCGACATGGCCACCTTAGCCCTGTGGGCCATGTCCAGGTTCTGGAACTTGAGGAAGGCATACGCACCACCCTGGCCTCGGGCAGGCCTCTTGATGACCACCTCCTCAATGATGCCGTACTTCTCAAAGGCCCGCCGCAACTCCACCTCCGATACGCTGTGGTCCAGGTTCCCGATGAACAGGTTGCGCGTGGCCCGCTGGTCGTCCTCAGGCATCAGGTCCTCCTCGCACACGGCGGGGTAGCCGTAGGGGCGCCCGCGGTCGTCGTATAGCCCGTAGTAGTCCAGGGCCCGCTCCCGGGATAGCCCCACCGCGGCGGCCGCGGCAGCATCCAGGGCAAAGGCCGCCGCGGCGTGGCGGGCGCGGGGCTCCCGCAGCGGCGGGGCGGCCACTGGGGACAGCGAGCGCTGCTTGTACTGGTAGCCGCCGTGCAGGGGCAGGTAGCCGAGCGGGTCGGCGGGCGCGGGCGGCCCCGGGGGCGGCGTGGAGGCGGCAGCGCTGCTGCTGCTGCTTCGCCGGCTGCTCCCGCCGCCGCCGCCGCCGCCGCCGCCACCGCGCAGGTACACGGGCTCCACCTTGAGCGGCCGGTCGTAGAGCAGCAGCTGGCGGGCCAGGGCGTGCTGGCGGGCCTCGCGTGCGTCCTGCGGGTGCCGGAAGTTCACGTAGGCCACGCGGCCCAGCTCTGGCGTGTGCGACAGGCGCAGGCTGATCTCGCCGAAGCGCTTGAACTGGTGGAAGAGCCGGTCCTCGAGGTGCTCGGCGGGCAGCGCGGGGCTCAGGCTGCTGATGAGCAGCGTCTTGTACTCGGGCGCGGCCGCCGACGAGCCGGGACCCGCGGGCTCGGCCCCGGGCGGCGGCGGCGGTGGTGGCAGCGGAGACGCGCGGGGTGAAGCACCTGAAGCGCCTGGGTCCCCGGAGGCCTTGCCGCCGCGTGCCCCGCCGCCGGCGCCCGAGCCCGAGGAGCGGCCGCTGCTCGCACGGTGATTTGCGTCCCCCGCGCCGCGGCCGTCGCGATGCCCACCCCCGCCGCCCCCGCTACCGCGGGGTTTGTCGCGAGCCCGCGCTGGAACGGGATGCTTGGCGCCGCCCGAGGCCTTGTGCGCCGCCCGCCGCCCGCCCGCCTCCGCCTCCCGTTCGCGCTCCCGCGGCCGCTTGGCCGACGATGACGAGCCGCGCCCGCTCGGGCTCGAGTCTCGCTCGCTCTGCCTCTTCATGGCGCCGGCGCGGCGGGCGGGCGGGCGGCCCGCAGGCCCCTCACAGCGGCGGCGGCGGCGGCCGAGGAGGCAGCGCCCCCGGCGCCGCCATCTTGGACAAAAGGACTCGGCGCGGCGGTGGCGGCGGGGCGGGGCGGGAGCGGCGCCCAGGGGCTGGGCGTCGCGTTATCAGGCTGCGCCGGACTGTCACGTGACCCCGCAGCGGGCGGGGCGAGAGTTGCGCCGGGCGTACGTCATCGGAATGCGCCGCCCCGTGTCACGTGATCCCGGGGCGGGCGGGCGGGCGTGAGCTCTGACGCCACCGCGCGGCCAAGGGGCCGGGCTACGCGGAGATCGGGGACGTCGCGAGAGCACTGTCCCCGACCCCAGCCGGCTGCAGGCCCTAGGCCTCCGGCTTCCGGCTCGGGGGTCCGCGTTGCGTGGAATGGGAGTGGCAGCGTCTGTGGGCGCTGGGCTCCCTGGTCTGGTCTTGACCCAGCGCGGCCTCTTTACGTGGCATCCCCCCAATCCCCACCACAGCATCTCCCGACTGTGGTCCGGGATCGACAGGCGCGAGAACCTAAGCACGCCGCTCCCTAGGCCCCGTCTAGGACCCACGCCCCACAAAGCAGACATTCTCCGCGTTCAGGTATCACCTGCAGCGGTCCCCGGAAAGGCCGCGACGACCACGGGCTATGAATGTAAAAGGCGAGGCCCTTTTGGGTTCAGGCAGAGAGATACCTGAGCCAACAACCTACCTGCCGTTTACCGAGGGGGAATAGGCTCCTTGGCGCCACGGCGTCCACCCTCTGCTGTGGCCTCCCGAGCAGATGGTGGGCTGTAAGGGCAGGGCCACGGAGCCAAGGGCGAAGAGAAGGCCAAACCCAGTAGTTACCACAGCTTGCCACGCTTACCTCTCGCTGACCAGTGCCTTTCCATCCACCTCCAGGGCCAGGACCTCTTCTGCAGAGGTGAGGTGCGGGGAGAATCCTGCCCAGGTGCCCAAGCCCCCTTGGGAAGGTTTCATTCTCCAGAGAGCTGCTGGACGCATCGCAAAAACCGACCCAACTTCTGCAAGGAAACCGTGGGGGTGGGAAGAGCCTACCGGTTCCTTCTCCCACAATCATAAATAAAGCACCTCCTGGAGCAGCTGAGGCAGGTGCAAGGGGAAAGCTCTTACAAGGAACACCTGTAACAAAGAAACACCTGTAACGTTGCCTGATCTGAACTCCACTTCCAGAATGAGTTAACCCTTTGTAGATCACCTTGGGGGTCAGCCCTACAGCGGTAGTGGTTGGTTTACCCTGCGCCTGTGTTCAGTGTGGCCTGTAGGCCACAGCTATTCACCTCCTAAGACTAATGTCTTCAGCTGTGGATCTTCCTAGCACTTGTTCGGGGTTCAGGACACTGCACTTTGTCAGATCTTAATAGCCCACCTAATTCCTCCAAACAAGGAAGTCTTCGCTCGAGAAGTAGCTCAACCTTCTTGCTTCCCTCCTAGAAACAAGGTATTGAAGATATGCTGGTTGTCATCAGTGGATGCCACAGCAGGTGGGAACAGGGCCTATGGAGGTAAACTGAATTTAGCAGCATAAACGATGTGACCTGAAGTCTTCCTTGGAAAGCATTGCTTTAGTCCTTCCCTTCAGCTGGTCTCCGCAGGCCCGAGAAGCAGAGGGGTCTCCACCAAGTCACAGCTCATGCTGACAATTGGGTTTCCCAAAGCCAACCCCGGAGAGGAACTGAAAAACCAGACTCTGGGGACAAGAGACTTCACTGTTGGGACTTACCTTGGGTAAACAAGGCAGAAGGCAGCCTCTCACTGACTTTGTATAAACCAACCCCTGCAAATCTTACAAAACCCCAATTAGGCATCAAAAGCTTGGGACTGACATGAGGCCACAAACTCAGATGACCAAGTAGATGGCCAGATCTGGACAGTGGTTGGTGGAGGTAGCCAGGCCAAGAGCATGTTTAGAAATGTGATGGTACTAAACACCGGCAGTTACTGAGGTCATCCTCCCAGAAGGCCACACTAAATCGACCCTCCATCCTGCTCGGGCACAGCCCCGATAAAGCCCCTCCCTCGTACACCAGATTCAACCCCCGTGCCCTGCAAGAAGCCGCATGGCCTCTGGCTCCTCTCCTGTGACTTCCACTCGAAGTCACCTCAGGGTGGCGCATCAGGCGCAGCCACCTCCTGGGCTCGCCTCCACTCCTGCACCAGCCCCCCTTCCCCCCACGCCTCAGCCCGTGTCCTGCCCTGGCATCTCCAGCCCTGGTCGCCGAGGGACAAATGTGAAGGTATCAGACAATTCTTTGTTAACTGGAAAGCATAAACTGGTGGGATCTTCATTAGGGTTGAAATCCTATTTCAGATTCACTTTAATTCTCCAAGGACAGCTAGAAATTTTCTTCCTTTAATAAAAAATTCCCAGACACACTTTAAAGTCCTAGAGTAAACCAGCAACAGAACAAAGTGAATCCCCCCCAAGGGGGGCGCTGGAGAGCCAGCATCATCAGGAAAGCTCCAGGCTTCACACCTGACATTGTCAGGAGCCCGCCTAAAAAATAAATTACAAAAAGGCTGTGGGGAAGAGGCAGGTGAGCTGCTTTCCCCTCAGGTGCAGCAGGGATCAGGCAGACTACAAATCAGTCCGTGAACTGGCTGCCTTGGGGGCATATTTAGGCATCAGTTCATTAATCTTCCGGATGTAGTCGGACTTCTCCGCACAGCCTTTGCACGTCTCCCCCCAGTCGTCCAGGATCTTCTTGAGCTCTTTCACCCGGAGCTTCTTCAGGTCCACTGTGCTCAGGTCGATCTGCTTGTCTGGAGGAAAGAGCAGGGAGAGCTGGTGGGAGTGGCCACAGACCCCCCCCCCCACCCCTAGTCCCAGGATGGGTCACCCCTGCACAGCCCCCCAACCCTTAAAACAAGCAGCCCTACTGGTCAGAGGGGGACAGACATTTCTAGACACCTGCGGTGCGTGTCAGTGCCCACCGCCCTGACCTGCGGGAACTGGCCCGAGGCCCCTTCACCAGAAGGCTGGTCTCACCCTGGCGGCATCCACCCGGATGTGCAGTGCTGCCCGGCCCGGGACGGAGGCCATGTGGTCCTTACAGGACAAACCTCACAGGAGAAATGAGGTTCCCACTCCCCCAGGTGCCCTGACAACTAGTCACTCACTGTAGAGTGACAGCTCCAGGGTGACAGAACAGACAGATCTCCTAGCTCCAATTTCCCAACACAGACCCTGGTCAGGAGCTTACTCCCCGTGGCCACTCGTGAGCACAGACCAGGAGCCAACCGCACCTGTCGCAGGTCCCTCTCAGGAGACCAGGCATCCTGGACACAAGTGGGCAACCATGGGCCCTTGGACACTCGCGTCACAATAAAATATGCTGGTGTTGTTTGAATTTTATAGACAACTATTTCTGGTCCTGACTCAGAGGACGTGGCCTGCTTTTTTCCTCTGTTCAATAAAAGGGGTGCCGCAGCGCCCGGAACGCTTGGGTCTGCCTGTCTGCACACAGCATTTCCCTTCAAAATAATAAAGATCGCTGGGCCTTCAGCAGGACGAGCCTATTAAGACCAAGTCAGGCCACATCCCTTCTCTGCTCAAAACCCCATGTTCCCAGGGGCTGGGTGGTTCAGTTGGTTAAGCATCCGACTCTTGATTTTGGCTCAGGTCATGATCTCAGGGTCATGGGACTGAGCCCCGCATCGGGCTCTGTGCTCAGTGGGGCACCTGCTCGAGATTCTCCCTCTGCCCCCCCGCACTCTTCCTCTAAAATAAATAAATCTTAAAAAAAAAAAGATCTCTCTGCGGTCCCCCCACAAACCAACAAACCATGTTCCCAACTTCACTTAGACTAAAGACCTGAAGCCAAATCACCAACCTGCAAGGCCCTCTGTGACCCGTCCCCCCGTCATCCACCACCTATCTCCTCTGCCTGCAATGCTCTTCCATTAGCTCCTCTTGGCTGATCTTCTACCGCCTTCAAAGTCTGCTGAATGCCACCTCCTCCGTGAGGCCTATTCTGCCAGATCCGTACCCCCCGACCCGCTACTGCACGCACTCGCCGTGGCTCTCGTTTCTCACCCGCCTCTCCCAGCTAGCATGCCTGAGCGCGAGGCTCCGTGGTGGGTCCGTAAAGCCTGGCCACACTCACCATACTTCAGCTCACAGATCTGGCTGTCCTTCTTCTTGAGCTTCTCACAGACCTTCTCCACGGGGATGTGGTGGGCCAGGGGCTTGGACACCTCGTTGATGATTTTAGTGGCAGCGTCCTCTGTGGCCCCGATGTAGTAGCACTGCAGCGAGAGAGGACAATGGCCTTCAGGCGGTTCCACTTGAGAGCCTTCTCCTCTGCAACACTGACAGCTCAAAACCTCTCTGGCAGGGTCTCCTGTTCCCACGCCCTGCCTTTACTGGCGGTCACATTCGGTCAGTGTGAACCCCGGGCTCTCAACACATGCTCGGTCCCAGAGCTGACAGCCTCCAAATAAGTTTACGAGTTACCAGGATTCAGACCTTTAAACAGAGACGAACAAACCAGCGACTGCCAGGGAAATTAAAGCTACAAAAGTCCTCGTTTTATAAGGGCTCTTGTCCTCAATTCGGCCCTAGCCCATCCTGTGCCCACTTTGTTGTCTTCTCGTGTCCTCACACATGGCCTCCTCTGCGCTCACAATGGCTGGTCCCTCTGGGGGGGATGCTCTTCCCCGCTCCCCCCCCCAAACAATGATAACTCTTCCTCCGAGAGATTCTTGACTATTCTGCCTAAATCAGCGCCCACCCTCTCTGCCAGAGCACCCTGGTCATTTTCTCCAGGACACTCATCCCATGGCATCATTTGCCTGTTATTTCTCCCCACTGATCCTCCCAGTGTCCAGCACACAGTAGGTGCTTAATCAATACTAACATGAGAAAAAAACATCCTAACTGCAGGATGCATGAAAGCACTCGCGTCCCGCACCAGCATACTGACACAACAGCGCACCTCCTGAACGCAAGTGGGCAGGGCCAGCCAGGGAGGGGAACAGGCTACTCACCAACCGATTCTCTTTGCCTCTTGCTTCCTGACAGAATTTTGTAAGTTCTTTTTCAATAGAGGATGGTGAAAATGTGACATCTCTGTCTTTGAGGTCCTGATAAAATCTTCCCAGATAAGAGATACAGACTGGAAAAGAGAGGGAAAGGAGATGCTCAGCAATCACCAAGTTGCACCCCAGTCCACCAGGAGGGAACTCCGTCAGCAATTTTAATAGGAGACACGGAGGTGAGTTTTTCCATCACCGGGGTTTCTCAGGTACCCTAACAGGCCGAACCCAGCTCCAGGTTGCTGGGGTCCCCTGGTACACCCAGGGCACGCGGGCATCGAGCATCACCCAATGACCCACACACGGCTCCTCCCTGCTCCTTCCACAAAGTTTAAGCCGAGACTGAACACGTGTCCTTGATATGGACTCACTGTGACCTCATAAGAGGCCAAACCGGAGAGCGAAGACAAAAACGATCCAAATGCTTCTCATTTCCAAACACAACACCAAACCCCGAGGTGCGGCTTCGCAAGCCCACTGGACCCGGCGCGGCGCTCACAGCCGGCCCTAGGGGCTCCCGACCTGAGCCAGGGAGAGCCTCTGCCCAGAGGTGGGAAAGGACAAAAACTCCGGCGTTATCTCAGTGTCAAGACAAGTTTTCTGTACGATCTAGTCCCAACTTTTTCTTGTCGGACCAGTTTCCTAGGCCCGGGAACTGTTTTCTAGCCGGCGTCTGCCCCTCCTCGGGCGGACGCCGCTGGGACCGGCCGCCGCCCCCTCCCGTTCCAGCCCCGGCCTCTCGGCCGTTCTGTGGTGTTCAGCGCCGCCGCCAGGCCGGCCTTGGCGCGCGGACCCCGGCCCCGCCGCACCTTCGCAGTCGCCCGGCCGCAGGGTCCGGCCACCCGGCAGCACGCTCAGAGCCAGCGCCACCGCCAGCCCGTGCGTAGCCCACATCCTCCGCCGCCGCCGCCGCCGCCGCCCGACTGAACCGCGCCTGCCGTGCGGCGCTTCCTCCAGGTCCCGGCGCGCGCCGTAGTTCCCCATTGGCGGGCTGCCCCCGCGCCCTCCCACACGCCGCGCTCGTATTGGTCCACGCGCCTCGGAGCCCAGACGGGCGGCTCCACGCTACCCTTCCCTATTGGCTGGTAGCGTCGCCCGCCCTTGGCCCTAGACAGTTGTCGGCCGCTGATTGAACCAGGGCGTCCGGCAGGAAGCGGCCGCGGGGGTGGCGGAAGCGGCCCGGGCCGCCATCTTGAGTAGGGGCAGCGGCCGTGCCTGAAGACGCAACCTCGCACAGGAGTGGGGTTCGGCCGCAGCCTCGCGCGTGCTGAATTATCCCGAGTACCCCTTGCTGTGGGTTCCACGCCGGCCCGAAAAACCCCGCGGACATCCTCTCCCGGGGCCCCGACTGATGGCGCAGGCCAGCGGCTCTGGAGTCAGCCGCGGCCCAAAGGGCAGGCTCCGGGGAAGTTTCTTTCCTTTTCATTTTTTCAAACGATCCCGTGGGTGGGGGACCTCGGCTTCGGGGACCGCCCGCGAGGCCTGATGACCAGGTCCGAAGGTCCGCATTGGGCCGGAGGCCGCCTTGTTCGGGCTGACTGGACACCGGCCAGGGTGGACAGACGCTGAGCTGGAGGACTTCCCATAGGAAGGGCCCCCGCTCCGAGCTGCCGTCCTAGGCCCCAGGGAAGCGCCTGGCCCGGTTAGGCGCTGTGGCTGTGCGATCCGAGCCGGCCCGCCGCGGTGGGGAGCTGAAGGGCTGGCCCGCCGCCTCTGGCGGGGACGCTCCGGGGGCCCCTGGCTGCCGGGGGCGCCTCCTGAGTAGGGAGGGGCGTGCCAGTCAGCGGACAGGCGCTGGAGGGGGTTTCCTCTTTGGCTGCCCTCCTTTCAGGTGCTACCTGTGTCAAGGCAGGACGTTGGAAAAGGCTGGCTCTGTGCTCCGGGCAGAGGGATTTCTATGGGGCTAAAGGGCTTGGAGCCCAGCGACAAGGGTTGGAGAGGGGCACTTGGGCTGCTCCCATTCAGTGAATTCAGTGGGTCAGTATCAGGTATTCATCTTTAATTCACATCACAGCAGTCAAGGGAGTGGGGAAAGGGGGAAAAATCAAGTGGCAGATATTTACATCTAAAATTCACATTACTTGTTGGATTTAGAACATGCTACCACAATATATACAGTAAAATACCTCTTGGGACACTA